AAGAAGAAGAAGAAGAAGAAGAAGAAGAAGAAGAAGAAGAAGAAGAAAAGAAGAAAAGAAAAGAAAAGAAAAGAGGAGGAGGAGGAGGAGGAGAAGAAGACACATTTTGCACAGTGTATACTTACATTTCAACTTGCTAGATCAGTAATTTCAAAGTGTGGTCTGGAAACCCCTGAGGTCACCGAGACTCCCTTGAAGGGAGCCCGTGTTGGTAAAACTGTTTTCCTCATAACATCATGGAGCCATTCTTTCATTTTCATTCTTTTAGAAGTATACAGAGGTCCCTCAGATCTATTGTTTTACTTTCACAGGTTTCAGTTCAGAGAATCAACCATAATCCAAAAATATCCAGCGGAAGGTCGCAGAGCAAAGCATAGATTTTGAATGGCACGCCATTCTGAACAGTATGGTGACGTTAGCGCCACCATACCTCGTCTCAGCTGGGCAGTGAATCAGCCCTTTGTCCAGTGTATCTGTAGTGCTTGTCCTACCTGCCTCTGACGTCCTAGCCAGCTCAGTCGTCACATCAACAGTCCCTGTGTCGTGGTGCTCGTGCTCAAAGACACTTTGATTTCTTTTTCTGCTTAATGGCAGCCTACAAGAGTACTGACACTGGTCGTTTTTGGCTCTGCCTAACAGAGATTGTAAAAACGTGTCCTTCAAGTGAAAAGGAGAAGCTTTTGATTAATGAGGAAATATGCCAGGTCTACTAAGATGGACAAGAATGAAATCTACCCGTGATATTGTTAAGAATGGCAAAATAACCCATGATAGTTTTGCTGTCGTTTTTGATGCTGTAAAAGTTATGGTTGTATGGACAAATGGCTCATCTGGCTAAAGGTTCATGTAGTTTAAAAAACAAAAACAAAACAAAAAAAAAAACCTGCCATACAAGTGTGAGGAGCTGAGTTGGATCCCTGGCACCCGCAGTGGGGGGAAGGAACGGGCTCCTGAAAGCTGCCCTCTTCAGAGCTCATTCCAAAAGCCTGCCATCATATGCATGCACATGCCCGGAGACGTATAGTAATAACATTTTTTTTAATTTAAAAGTTATAGCCTCATATCCAAGTATGGTCGCACATGCCTGTAATCTCAAAATTTGGGCAATGGAGAGAGGAGGGTCAGAAGGTCAAATCGTCCTTGGTCATATAGCAGGCTTGAGGCAAGCCTGCCTAAATATGTGATGGCCACTCGTGCGGCACACGTTTAGCTAAGGTAGGAAAGGCATTGCCATCTACGGCCTGGTGCAATCTGGGAACCCACTGGAGATCTTGGAATGTAGCTCGAAAAGATAAGGGGGAACTTCTATTTAGCAGACTTTTCTAGAGGCGGCTAGATAGATATATGGTGATGTCATCACTTCGTTCTTAATGGAACATGTGCTCATACCTTCTTGCCTTTTGCATTCCTCAGTTATCATTTTGAGTGTGTGCGTAGCAGTTGCTGTAACTCACCTCTTAACTTCAAGACTGCCCCCCAAGTTAATCCCGCAGCTACTCTGTCTTTTGTCATGTGCTTCCTTCAGGCTGTCGGAGTCCGACTTCCCCGAAGAGGCCTGGCTGTGGAACTATGAGAAGCACGGCCACCACCGACACTCAGTGATGAGGAGAGTCAAGCGCTTCCTGAGCACCCACGAACACCCCGGCAGCCCCAGGAGGAGGAGGAGTTTCGGCAGGCAGGCCAGCGACAGCTCCATGTTCTTCCCACACAGCCCGGCTCGGGATCTGCTGGACGTGCCTTCAAGAAGCCCCAGCCGAGGCTCACCCACCCGGAAGCAATCCCCCTCCCGAGAGGGCAGCCCTAAGCTGCACTCCAGCATGGGAGAACTGTCCACCATCCGGGAGACCAGTCGCGCCAGCACTCTGCAGAGCCTGAGCCCTCAGTCCAGTGTGAGGGCCTCTCCTACCAAAATGCCCCAGGTCCCCGAGGTCCTGATCACAGCAGCCGAAGCACCGGAGTCCTCAGCAGACGGCCATCATCATGACTCCACCGCCTCCATCCTGAGCCTCGAGTTCACTGGGGTGCAGCCAAGCACTACCGAGCAGCACACAGACCCGGCGGGAAAGGCGGCACCGCCCGGAGACCTCAATCCCCAGACTGTTTCAACCGGCACTGAAAGAGACTTGTTCAAGTTCGAGGAAGATCCAGATGACGACAGATTCCTCAAACGGTGGAGCCTTCCAGAGTTGCCGGAGTCCAGGCACACCTCCCAGGGAAACTTAGGTCCAGATCCTTTGAATCCCGGGGCTGCTTTTTCACTTGACACAGAAACAGCCTCAGAGACTGGTGCAATCCATTCTGGGGCTGGCTCTGGGGTCTCTCCCGACATCCTGTACTTGATGGAAGGCTTGGATAAGGAAACAGACATCCTGGAGTTTAACAACGAGCACACTGAAGAATCCCCTAAAGGAATGACCCAGCGCCCCAGAACCTGGTTCTAGCCCAGCTTCCTACTTTAAACAAAGCTGTCGGCACCAGTCTGGGAACACTCCCAGGAGCTGGCTAGCATTAGAAAAATGATCCTACTTTGCAAGCTACATAGAACTCTGAAGGGCATTACATTAAGGTCCTACAAAAAAAAAAAAAAAATCACACATCCACATTGTCTAGCACAAAGGGGCCTTCGTGGAAGTTACACAGACTGAAGCGAATCACCATCATACAAATGCATATGGCGTATTCACCCACACATGATTAGCTTTGGAAATGGCCATACGGATCATAGTCCACGCCCACAGAAACAAAGGCCCAGACACAAAGGGTCCTGTTCTTTCCTGTTCCCTCCCCCACCTCTCTCTCTCCCTCCGGCTACAGAGACAAGAGATGTCATGCCCAGAGGCCCTTCTCTGCTTAGAGTTGTTCCCCTGAAGCTACCTGAACATCTTGTTCCCGCTTACTGTAACTATTACGGTTATAGACGATTATTGTTATTGTTTCCATCTTTCCATAACTCTTAGTCTCCCTCCACATCAGAAAGTTCCCTTTCTCTTCAGTAGCTGTCTCATAGGTGTCTGGACTTCTTTTTTCTCTCTTCCTCTTTCCTCTCTTCCCTTTTTCCTCTTCCCTGTCCCCCTAGTTTAGCTCCTCCAGTGAGGCTACTCTGTCCCTCTTTCCAGGTTATAATATCTTCTCCTTCCAACTCTGTTGCTTACCTCTTGTCACGTATCCAAACCACGAGACCCTGGTGAAGTCTGGTAGGGGAACCTAACACACCCGCCCTCCCTTGGCCCCAGCCTTGCAGTAAGAGGTGTACGAGGGGGCTGGAGAGATGGCTCAGTGGTTAAGAGCACTGTCTGCTCTTCCAAAGGTCATTAGTTCAATTCCCAGCAACCACATGGTGGCTCACAACCATCTATAATGTGAACTGATTCTCTCTTCTGGCAGGTGTAAATGCAGATAGAACACTTATATACGTTAAAAAAAAAAAAAAAAAGGTGTACGCGGGTCGATGGCCTCCACTGCTATATGAAACCTGCTGCTTCTGCTCTTTCATCTTGAACGCTGGAGGAGAAAAACAAAGCTACGGCGATATGAAAACTGCATAGCCAAGCACTACATCACCAAAGGACAGCCTGGCTTGGAAGTGCTGAGCTCACGCACAGTCTTAAGCAAAGCTATTCCAATTGTGTCACAGCATGGGACCAGTTCTTGCGTCTACTGGGTTGTTTTTATGTGAAGAAGGATATTAGAGCTGTGTGGATGGTGGGGTCCATGACTGCATGATGAAAACAGACTGTTGCCAACCTCCTCTCTGAAGCCCGTAGGTTAGGTTTTGCAACCTTCCCGCTCTGAAAAGCTTTGCCTTCTGAGTGCTAGCCTTCCCACCTGTCACACAATGAAACCTGACCCGTGGCTTCAGAGGCGAGAAACCCTAATAATGACCGCTGGTTTGGCGTCTCAGTGATCTTTGCAGTCTCATCTCAAGTCCACAGACGAGCTCACGATGCTTGAAAAGAATCCTACGAGACCAACATACCATTAGCTCCACTTTAAAGATGAAGAAAACGGAGGCATTGGGGAACTGATTTTCCTGATCTCACATAGCCAAACTTAACTGGCTCAAGAGCCCACACTTCCTCATTGTGCCATGCTGTCTATAAGGCCCCGACTCTGCTATCCATTTGCCCCAAATTCTAGAGGATGCTCCAAGTGGCTAATAGTAGGTTTTTGCCAAATCCCTCCATCCTTGGAGACCTCTCATGATCCTCCCTGCTCAAGACAATCTTCAGTCACAGAGGAGAGCAGAGCTTCTGTCTTTAAACCTAGCCAGGGTCCCCTCCACATGTCACTCTAAAAGAAAGCTGGCAGGAGCCTATTATTCCTTCCCCCACTTCTTCGTCCTGATGGTCCATGACCACATTCACAAGAGACCTCAGATCTCAAATGCCTATCAAGGGGCAATAGCAATGACCCTTGCCTTAACTGGTTTTGCTTAGAGGACTGAAATTATATGCTATTACAAGAAATGCTGTACATTGATGATTCTCTATTTTAATCCACACCATCAGCTCCCGAGAAAGGACTAGTTCCCCAAAGTACCACATATAGACAGACTATGGGCTCAAGCCCCATTACACTTCTAAAAGGCCAGAGCCCCAACCTTCTCTGGTCACCATGGTCTTCTTACACTTTTCCCGAGTACTGCAGTATAAGCCCCCTCCCTATCCTCTTCTCTTTAGCTCTATCTATTGTTCAAATACAAATGAGTTTCTGCTTAGCTGCCCTTGAGTTATAATCAGTTTCATTTCTAAATCCAAAGTTATCAGCTGTGCAGAGATAGAAGGATAGTTTTATGGAGAGATGGGAAGATGTTCATTTATCTCTATTCCCGTGCATGTCTTATACCCCTTTATTCCTGAGACTTATTTAAGTTCCTCGATATTTCTTCAGATTTTGAGATGGCCTCCCATTTTCTCCTCACACTGAAAACTGAATTATGACTTGCTCTATGAGCCCAGATGTAGAAACCCTTCCATCCTAAAATGAGCCTTTATCCCACAACAGCCAGGGCTGCAAAAAGAAAAAAAAATTATTCTATTCTGCCCGTTTTTTTTTCCTCTTTCTTTTTTTACCTGCCTAGATAATTTTCCCCTTAGCTCTAGGAAATTCCACCTTAGAGACAAATAGCCGTACATGTCAAATAAGACACATGTAATAGCCAAATAAGACACATGTCCCTGTGTCCTAATCTTGAGGGTTTGACCAACACAAGAAAAGGCTTAGCCTCGTGTGTCACCATGTGCATAACATGCATGTCATAATGTGCATGTCAGGGTATGCAGTGAGGCCAAGCCCTTTGCGTGCTTTCTCCCTGCTCCTAGAGAGGGCTCTGCCCTGATTCCGGGGTTCCGTTTCAATATGGTTAAGAGCCCATCAACTTTTCCTCTCCTGTCCACGCATTTAGAACTTCCTGGTTCATGGCTTCTTCTTCACTGTCCCATCTACCCAATCCATTGCTTCCGTTACTCTGGGTAGTCACTTTGTCCCTTGTCCAGCCAAGTGGTAGAAAACATAGATGAAATGGAATGGGGAAAATATAAAATTTACCATCAGTATAAGGAAAAAACATCTGTGAATAACCTCCGAAAGACTTCAAAAACTTGAACGAAGCCTGGTATGGTGGCACATGCCTATAATACCATCACTCAAAAGGCTGACGCAGGTGAATTAAAAGTTCAAAGTCAACCAGGTCTATATGATGTGTTCAAGGATAGCCTGGGCTACATAGCAAGATCTTACCTATAAAATCCAAACCAAAACAAGCAAACAACAACAGAAAAACTTTGAAAGAGAAAAAGGAAGGCAGGAAATTGAACAAATGTGTGTCTTTTCCAACCATCAGATCCTCATCTACCAAATGGGGGCTCTCTAGAAGGTTTCACGGCCATTGTTAGCCATGGAAGGGAAAGGCTGGGACCTCAGATTGTCCTGTGTGACCAATAATAATTCTTGGTGTTCCAAGAATTCATTGCAAACTTCTCACTGTGGTAACCTGTTCTTCAGGATCGCCTTTTCTCTGGGATTCTAATCTCTTTCATTTAGGAAGATTTTCATTTAGGAAGACATTCACTGAATTAAGCCTCCAACTTAACTGTTTTGTCACTCTCTTCGAACTATTTTCTTCTTTCTGATGCTTCCCAACTTCTATCATCTTCCTTCTTTCTGGCATTTCTCACCATTCCTTCACACACACACACACACACACACACACACACACACACACACACACACTGCATCCCACAGCACATCACCACAGCCATGAATTTCTCATCTAACTCATTATATGTATCAATCTCCCCCATCAAAATGTGAGATCGGATAAAAAAATTAATTGCATGTGTTCATTCCTCTCTAAATCTAGAGGACACTGCGTTCAAAGCCGGAGGGTCATCTTAGGAAAGCTGCTCTCCCCAAAGCTGGTCCTATATCAGATAATTAGCAGTAATACTAGTGTAAAAACAAAAACAAAAGCCAAAGCAAGAGCAAGTCAGAATCTAATTTCATCTACCCGTCCCTCATCACAACCATCTGTACACGTGGTCACCAGCAAACACTGATGTCTGTGCAGCCGATGGAGATAAGCAGGGTCTTTTTGTCTGACTGGACTATTCCACATTTTTTTCCCTTAGTTCTGTGAACCCAGTTTTTAGGACACTTTTCTCGCTGATGGGGCCACTGAGTTGAAAGAACCAAGTGAACAATACCAGGCTTCTTTGACTACAAACCTTAAAATCCAGAAGTCCCCAACCTGCTGGCAAAGCTTTAGAACCATAATCTGACTTGACTCCTTCACTGCACCCTGCGCCTTCCTTCAGCCTCCCCGAATGTGCAGTCCGCATGTTCCTGGCTGTGGCAAATGTGAAATGAAAGTAAATTCCCTACAAGAACTCAGTTGACTCAGAACAGAGGTTAAATTTTTGTTTGATCTTCTTTGTTTCTGAATTGATTTAGAAAATGGGGCCAAATCTGCCTTGTACCACAGATGGGTTTAGCCCCGTAGTTCTATGGAACCATCTTCTCTGAGCTTCTAATTTGCCTAACAGAGGTAACAAAGGGAAACTACACTTTGTGTCCTGAAAACAAATAAGACATTTCTCAAATTGGTTTTGTGCAGATTTCCTGACCTGTTCCAAGTTCTCTGCCTGGGCTAGCGGCTCTCAGCCACATGTGATCTTGTATCCAGGAGACACTTGCAAGTGTCAAGAGACATTTCTGACCATGATAACAGAAGTCTTATTGGCATGCAGTGAAAGAGGCCAGCGATGCCACTGAACACCGCAACACACAGGACAGACACCTCAGGCATCTGAGAAAACAAATAAGACATTGGATTTAACCTCAAGGCTGACTCAGATATTTCTGTGGGTGGCCGTTATGAAGGAAAACATTGTATCCCAGGAAACCGCTAGATCATTAACAGGCAACTGACACAGCCCGATCT